TCTAATTCTCTTTTTATATATATATATATATATATATATATATATATATATCTGTGTGTGTGTGTGTGTGTGTGTAGAGTGTATTTAATAATTAGCAGAAGAAAATGCCTTCCCGCCTGGCCGTAGAGGGAAAACGTGCATACGATGCGAATACCGAGACCGTTGGCTGCACTCGAGAACAGCAGGCAATGCAGGAACTCAAACGAGCCCTCGGATGGACACCAGCAACCGCAACAAACACAACAAATACAACAACAACAACAACAACAATGGCAGCAGCAGCAGCAGCTTCAGATGCTTTTCTACTTCGCTGCTTAACATCTGTGCATTTCTCCGTAACGGAGGCAATGGCTGTATTAAAACAAAGACGTTCCTTTGAAGAGCGGTTAACTTCTGTACGCATGACAGCCGTCGTCTTGGCACTTTTACGCAGTGGGACAATTTCAATCATTGGTCGTGATGTACTGGGAAGGCCAATATTATATATAAGCACTCAACACTTTACACAAGCCCCTCTAGACGCTCAAGATATACAGCGTCTTGTTATAGTAGTAATGGAATATATGTTGGCCTATTGTATGCAAATGTCAGCAACTACACCAACTGGAGGAAAAGGTAGTAGTGTATTATCACCACAACAGGCACCAGCATCACCAACACAACAACAACAACAACAACAATTTATTGTATTAATAAATGAAGAAAAATCATCATGGCATGCCAATCAATCTGTAATGGCTCATATAAGCGTTATTTGCAGTATCATAAGCAAATATTATCCTCGTCTTATTGGATTGGTACTATTATATGAAGCCTCATGGGAAGTACGACATGGAATCAAAGGGGCATTCTCAGGAAAACTTTCTGATACTATGCGTACTGTACAAATGGTTACTCATGCTGATATTCAAAAGTATGTGGATCGAGCAGTATTGCCCCATGAAATGGGTGGCCAAAACACAACAATAGAAACTGCAGATGCCTTTGCAGATGCCGTTCTCCGTCATTGGTATCTTAAAACAAGTTATTTACTACTAGAAGATGCCAACACACGTCCTTTATGGCAACTTCCTCCTTCTGTTTCTACCGTAAATGAGTGGAATGCACTACATCGACGAATTATGGGAAATACCAATCCATCTTTTCCTCCATCACCTTCACCTATTCCCGCAGCTCCTACTAGTCCCGCTGCTGCTGCTGCTGTTAGTAGTGGGAGATGCAGTCCGGCAGCAGTCATACCGTATATAAGCCGCGATGCGAGTGGTGTGTTGGATGTCGCTTCACTTGTCTCATCTCGCCGTTCACACGCCTTTCGTGCGAGTATTGATGATGATGATGGTTTCTGTTCTGCGATATCTGAACAAGATGACTGTGGACGCACTGCCAGCAGTTGTAGAATGACACCAAGAGATATTTGTTTGGATATGGATCTTAATGGTAATACCGCGTCTCCAGTAGTGTTATCGCGAGAACTGCAGAGAGAACGAGAACTTCGCATGAATGCCGAACAACAGCTTAGAAAACTCCGTCTAGGAGTTACGTTGGATTTAGCCACCGCCACTGAACTAGAACGTACACTTGCCGTAATGCATGCGGAACTTAATGTTTTGGTTGCAAATATCGCTGCACGAGCACGGGAGTCCGCCGCTGGTGGTTCACCACCCACATTAGTACAACTACTAGACTTAACACTTTCTGCATTGGAAGCCGCAGCGAATAAGGCTGAACGTGTGCCAGCCATGAAGTTTGCTGTGCCTGTGCGGCGAAATGCTACTCGGAGCACCTTGTGTTGTGATGTTATGTAAGTCTGCTGTGTACTCCACACCAGGAGACCTGCGTTAACGCAAGGTATATGTGAATATATCTTTCTCTTTTTTTTTTCTCTCTTTCTCTCTTTCTCTCTCTCTCTCTCTCTCTCTTACTCTCTACCTCTCCATCTATCTATCTATCTATCTACCTCACATGCACAGACATGCAGACACGGGAAACGAAAAACAAAACAGAACCATAACGGTAGAAACAGAAGCGGCAGCCGCCATCGTTGGATTGTAAGTGGACATTAATGAAAAAAAAAAAAAAGGGAAAAAAAGAGAAATATGGAAGATTATTCAAAGCGTATCTACTGAAACAATGAAAGAGGGTTGTTGTTTTTTTCACCATTTGTCATTTCCAAATGATTTTTCTTTATAGGAGCGGAACTAGAAAAAGGAAGAAGAAACGCAAATAATAGTATCTTAATCTTTATTCCCTTGCAATTTATCTTCTTCTTATTAACGCTTCTGTGTGTGTAGACAAAAAAAGCAAAGCAGAAGAATAAAAAAATTTATTAGATTGCTTTTCCCGCCCCTTTTTTTTCGCTTGTTTTATACTGTTTTTCAAGTATTTTTCCGTCGTTGTAATTCTGATGGCATTTTTCAGAGGTCAACAAATTATTATTAATGTGTTTAGTTCTATAGTAGTGGTAAAAGGAAATAGAAAAGAACAGGAAATAATACAATAATAGAAAGGAGAGAAGTGGTGCTTAAGGGGAAAATCGAAAGAAAACAAGAAAAGAAGATTAAGAAAAGCAAAGGGGTCATTCGCTTTATTTAAGATGTGATAGACTTATTTAAGCTGGTTAAGTAGGAAGATAAAGACGTTCTCTTGATTTAGTATACTCTTGCTTGGGCAAGTACTAATACTATGTGGGGTATGTTTCGCTGAAAGTAGTATCAGTAACAATATACGTATATATACAATGGAAATAAAACATCTCTGTGTGCTAACTACATGGGGATACTCTTTTTTTTTCCTTGACTGTATAATGCTATTGTTGCTTTTTTTTTTCATTGTTAATAATATGTGCATGTTTTCTTTCTTTTAAACTTTTTATGTACACTAATTTCACTCAAAACAATGCAGGGTGAGGGCAATTGTTCCGACAACGATGGTAAAGAAAATGATTCTCTGCCCGAATTTCTGTAGAAAATGATAGTAATAACGTTATTTTTGCTTTTTTGTTAATGATCTTCTTCAACAAACACCTCTGTCACTCCTTCTGTGATCTTCAGTATACTAAGATTAGCAATAGTGGCCTGGGAAAGAAACATATTATGAGTATAGAAATCACCTACACACCAACATTGCACTGAAAGTATTCATTCTCATAATACACGGATTTGGTTTCCAGAATAATAATAATAATTATTATTACTATTATTATTATTATTATTATTATTATTATTATTATTATTATTATTATTAATTTTTATTTGCTTTCCCAACTCTTTTGTTTCCACAAATCTTATATTAGACATATTCACTATCAAAACGCAAGGTATATCTGTGCACGCCAGAATGCGCCACCTGCTGTACGTTACGGTACTGCTGTTGGTGCTGCTGCCTCTCTACTGCACCAACGGGCTCGCTGCCACTGGGGGACGCTCGTGTGGCTTCGACGCAGTGAGGAGGAGACGTGGAAATAC